TTTCCCCTTGTGCAGCAGACATCACTCTCTTTTTGGACCAGGTTTCCCCTTGTGCAGCAGACATCACTCTCTTTTTGGACCAGGTTTCCCCTTGTCGAGCAGCAGACATGTGCTTTTGTTTTGGACCAGGCCAAGTTTCTGGACCAGGCCAAGTTTCCTTATCGCATATGACAAAAGCTTGTAGTCCTGATAGCGGATTATCGGGGATGGATTGTGCAAATTTGCCGGATGATCTTAGTAGTAACAGGGTCCCATGACTTCCCGAGTCCCATGATTTACAGAGCCCCATGATTGCGGTTCCAAGGCCTTCGACCTCCAGAAATCCTTCAATATATCATTGTGCACCATGACATGTGCCTGGTACAGAACACATGAACTTTTTGAAGTTTTCGGACCAGGTTCATCGTAGCGAAGTTCAGGCGATATCATCATGCCACGCAGCGAGGGATGTCTGGCATGTAGTACCTCCCTCTGGGCCTCTGGCACATCATAAAAAACACCAGCCGCCCAAAATAAGGCCAAAGAAAAATGTTAAAGCGCCTTCCTGCGTTGCACACTAGAGTATGTGTGCACACCCTTCGCATACGCGCATACATGTACTCCATGTTGTCGACGCGTACTCTCGAGTACGCGGGCCCATGTTTTCCCGTCTCCCGACGCTCTCAGTCTTTTTCCCGCCCACAGCGTGTGGGCCCTGGGGGTCCGGAATGTTTTTTTTTTGCACGGTGGTTTTATGTATTTGACCGTGCTTTCCTTCATGCATGTACAAGGAAATCATTTCATGTACAAGGTGATCCTATCCACATAATTATACCTGAATCAACCATTCATTGTTGGTCGATCAGGCCAATGCAGGGTGGTTTTATGGATTGGATCATTGGACTCATTGGAGTCGTTGGGCCGTATTTTCAATTCTGTTGTAAGTGTGGATGAGGCTAACAGCACTGCATCCATCCAGCCCCTAGAAAGATGGGGGGAAAAAAAGTGTACTCGCGTACGCGTTTTGACAGGTGGAGTACTCGTATGGGAGTACGTACATACATGTATTCACATACATGTACTCCTCCTGCCGAGTACGTGTATGTGATGCCACAAAGGCACCTGCGTTGTTACAAAGTGTCTGGTCTCAAAAACAGGCAGAAGAAAAAAGTTGAAACCCTGTCTAATTCTCAGGCCTTTTTTTTTTTAATGCCTGGCCGTCCGTGCATGCGCTGCGAGCTTTTGGGGTCGAGGGGGCTCCGTTGACGAATTTCATCAAAATGGCCTGGGGTGTAATGAATTTTGGCCGCCTGGCCACGCATGCGCTGCACGAGCTTTGGGGGTCGAGGCCTCCGTTGATGAATTTGAATTTCATCAAATTTGATAAAAATGGCCTGGGCCCTGGGATGCAATGAACCCGGACTCGTTGAGAAGCCAAGTTAGCAAAATGCAATCGACGTCTGACCGCAGCGCTCCTCATGAAGTCTCCAATATCAATTGTAAGTCCATGTCTCTCTCGATCATATGCACAAGTCAAGAGTGTCGTTGCATCAAAGAAGAGCATGAGAGGAGTGAGAGAGAGGAGAGAAAAGACAGAGAAGAAGACAGAGAAGAGGAGGAGGAGAGTCACAATGTTGATCAGTAGTACATGTATGTCTCTCTTTCTCTCCCACTTCCACTTCTGGCTTCTACCCTATCGCCACCTCAGCATTGTACGTTCCCTCTGACGTCCTCTGACATATTAATCACTTGGGCAGACCATTACAGGGCTCCCATCCTCCCTCCACATCAGCAACGAAGTAGGGAAGATGGCGCCATGGAGACCGGCAGCAGATCACACGTGTCGTCGCCAGGTACGTCCAGGTAAGCTTCCCCACATCTCCCGTCAGTCTCACAGCCCTGCTCCTCCTCCTCCATGCCAATCCTCATCACCTACTCTACATCTATGTGGCTATGGCCACGCCAACATAATCTCTCCCTCTAGGCTGCCCCCCACCAGCAGCATCTACCGTCTGCATCCAACTGCAGCAGCTTCGCGATACAGCACTAGCATCCAGCCAGCGCAAGGCAGAATGCCGTCCCCCGTGTCCGACTATCCTTTCGTAGCATTGACCAGCGTTGACTGGTGTGGACCCTGTCTCTTATACACATCTCCTCCATGCCAATCCTCATCACCTACTCTACATCTATGTGGCTATGGCCACGCCAACATAATCTCTCCCTCTAGGCTGCCCCCCACCAGCAGCATCTACCGTCTGCATCCAACTGCAGCAGCTTCGCGATACAGCACTAGCATCCAGCCAGCGCAAGGCAGAATGCCGTCCCCCGTGTCCGACTATCCTTTCGTAGCATTGACCAGCGTTGACTGGTGTGGACCAGTCTCACCTTTGACAGTGTCGACGCTCCAGATTTGCCAATCTCGATGGCCTGGATGCAGCCTTGAAGCAGCGGTACCGTTTCCCGGTCGGGACTAGAATCTTCCGGATACCTGCCGACAACCATTGCCGTGCATCTGATCGATGGCCGCGGCTGACTACTGGGTTGGCTTTGACTTTGGCCCCGCTTTCCCGTGCTTGGTCTGACTCTTGATTTTCCAAGAGTCGACTACCTCACCTGGGGTCTCTGGACGCTGTTTTCGACCCAGGCCCTGATACCCTTTACCCTTTGTCCTTAGGCCCGGATACCCATTGTCCTTGGGGCCTGATACCCCTTGTCCTTAGGCAGTGATACCCCCTTGTCCTTGGGCACTTTCCTAGACATTTCTCAGACTTGGGATGTGACTTTTGACCCCTGTTTCTGGCATCTGACCAAAAGTGACGACCCTTGCCGGTGATGATGTGGCCGTGAACTGAGTTTATTGCAGGGAGAGATCGCGGGGCCAACCTGTGGCCGTACACGGGGAAGTGTACTGGTGGTTTAGAGTACCTTCCTTGTTTGTTACAAAGTGGCCGCGCCCAAATCGGCCGCAAAGAACAAGTCCCCTTGAAACCAGGGGTGAGCATTTTCTTTTTTAAATGAGCATAAGCATTTACAGGGGATGTTTATTGAGGAAATCGGAAGCTGTATCAATACCTCAAAGGCCTTCAGGAGCTTCACCTCGCACTGCCCTAGCACTTCGGCGATGGTCTCATTGTTTAGTAGAACAGGTGCCTGCAAATCATCATTACAGGGAGCAGAAGAACCACCGCAAACAAGTCAACAACAGCAGTTAGCTTCCATGCAAGCGGTGAATCTCTCTCTCTCTCTCTCTCTCTCTCTCTCTCTCTCTCTCTCTCTCTCTCTCTCTCTCTCTCTCTCTCTCTCTCTCT